CAGTAATTTCTCTGGCTAGAACTTACAGTACAACGTTAAATAGCAGAGGTGAGAGCGAACATCCTTGTCTCATTCCTGATCTTATGGGGAGAGCTTTCACCATTGAATATGATGGTAGCTATGGGTTATTCATAATGCCCTTTATCATGTTGAGGGATTTCTGTTTTATCTCAAGTTGTAGAGTGTTTTTCTAGTCAGTAATGCATACAGGTGTGCAGTTTAATGATACAGTGAATGTGTGTTCAACTGGATCAAATTATCATTAAAAACATTAAATATTTACATGGTGGTGATTGTGTGTCACCAAGTGGTTCTGGCTCATAAGATTTATTAATAATAGAACAGCCAAGTTTAAAAGTTTTTAGTTGGATTGGCAAAAATAAATTATTTATTTGGTGAAAATGTGTGATAAGGGACATTGAGCTTCTAATATTTAATAGCCTCTTGAAAGTTCTCTTAACAGTAGTCATATATGCTGTGAAAATTTGAGTTATTTTAAATTTAAATGATTTTGGATTTTAAAAACTATCAGTTTTCACTTCTCCTTGAGAATATAGGGATCATGTGATAATTGGTTCTATATTTAACAAAAACATGTATAGACAGCAGGCTAAATGTCACTCTTCCAGCTTAGTATAAAGGAGAGGAGGGCGAGTAAGACATGGTTTCTTCTCTCATGGGATTTGCTGTCTGATAGACTGCTCAGGGGCAGTAGTTAGATGACTCGATACGGTGAGTATGGCCTGCCATGTACTAGGAGCTGAGAGTGAAGGAGATGAAGATGCCATGCTATGGAGTAGGCTAATAGAGAGTTTTGGTAAGTATAAGGAATGTTCCTCAGGTTGCAAGGATGTTTCCTGTTTAATGATGTTAGAGAACAAATGAAGTGTAGGCTACTGAGTCAGTAACAGCAAGGTTTGTGACAAATAAGTGATTGACGTACGTGGTAGACAAATTCCTGAGTAAGAACCGACTAGATGGAGAGGAGAGGGCCATTCTGGGAAATGAAAGACAATTATTAAGTGCTGGTTTTCTTCTTCCCATGTTTGCTAGAATTTATTCTCTGCGTGAGCCCCAGATACCTGCTAAGGTGATTGTACTTTCAGAAGCAGAAGAGGAAAGTCAAATACTCAATAAAGGGTGAGTTTTTATGTGTGCAATGAAATACTGTTTGTTTTTTTCAGCTAATTCATTGCTATTACACATGCACTTGTAACAAAGATCACAGCTTTCCAGAGGTGACTTTAGCATACTTTTGGTAATGTAAAAATTAAGCAAAAACAATGTGAATAAGTAACAAGAAAAGTTACTAGCTTGATGTTTTTTCAAGAAATGGATTCCATCCCCTGTGTGACTTAGATAAAAGAATAAATTGTACAGTGGCAGAGTTCCAGAAAAAGTGGGAGGTGAGGCAGACTGCCCAACTCCCAGACCAGCACCTCGCATCCTAGAACCTGGCGTGGAGCATAGCAGTTCTGATTCTCCTTTGACCCTGACTGCTTTCGTTTCCTTACCTACTTTGACCTAACAAAATCACCTTCTGAACTCACAGACCCTAGTCCTGTAGCCTCCTGATCATCACCCACTGTACGCATGCAGAGTGACGCTTTTAGTAGCAAAAGTTCTAGAAGTTCTGTTAGTTCTTTTTATGTCTCTGTGCTGGTCATATCTGATAGTCTCGTTTCTGTGATCTTTATTCCCTCAATATTTTATACACATTGTGTTGTGGTTAAGTGCCGTCAAGTTGGTTCTGACTTCTAACCAGCCTGTAAAGCGTTTCCAAGGAGCAGCTCCTCTTGATTGACAGCGTCCATACTAAATCTGTATTTGTTGGTTCTCCTGACTCTCAGTTGTGGTGGCTTCCCTACTGTGATTTCTGATCTCCAATTGTGAACTTATACAAGGGGGCTTTGAAAAATTCATGGGAAGTTTCTGATCTTCCTGTTTGGGAATATTGACTGCCTGACCTGGAGATGTGTTCCTCCAAATAAGATTTGTAGCTGCTCTGCTTCTGCTAGGAGCCAGGTGTTGCTACTGACCTGGGGCCATTTTCATTCTCCTCAGTGACCTCAGAGGGAAAGCTTTGTGTAGTCAAATTCTGATGCATAGGAGCCATTTAGGTCTTTTTAAATTCACTTCTGTGGCTATTTTTTCTCATTCATTGTCTTGATTAGTTTAATTCTGAGGCAGTTTCTTTCATGGTAATATTTTCTGGGTTTTTTGGTTGGTTTGTTTGTTTTTTGACTCCTGCCATTTACCTTTCCATGTAACAAAGAAACTAAAATAATATGATACTTTACACCATGTCTTAGAGTTGATATTTACTATCTCAGTTATATGAAATGGGAATTATCTTTGGAAATGTTTTATTTTGCCCATATTCATTAATCTCTTGGTTTGAAATATTTTTTGAGTAACTGATTTTACTAAAATTTAAAGTAAAAAGAGCATGGTTTGCCTTTCTTATTACAAAGATAATATATATTATAGAAAATTGGGGAAATATAGAAAAAATATTTAAAAATTGAAAATCTTTTGTAATCTGTTGTATATTGTAATCCATTCTTAATACTGTAGCCAGTATGATAAATCAGATCATCTCACTCCCCATTTGTTCCTCAGCTTTACTGTGTCCCACAAAGGCTTTCAGCTCAAACACCTTGCACTATCATCTTCATTCCATCCACTTTCCCCTGGCTTTCAACTCTAGCCATGTTGACTTCCTTGCCATTCTTTAAATACATCAAACACCTCCCCATTTTAGAACCTGTATGTTTGTTCTTCCTTCTGCGTCGATTACTCTTTCCTTAGATAAACACCAGTCTGACTCCTTTACTTCTGCACATCTTTGCTCAAATATTACCTTGTCAGATTCCTTCTCTGAGAACCTCCTGTAAAAAGTGTCCCTCCATCACTGCTTCTTATATGGTGCATATCACTTTATTATCTGAATATTGTATGTCTCTCTCCTTAGAGGACAGGTCATTTAATTGATGTATTCCAGCACATAGAACAGACCTGGCACAGACTAAATGCTTAGTAAATGTTTGTGAGGAGAGTAATTCACACTGGTCACAAGATAACTGTTGTTTTCATCCACTTTTTTTGTGTGTGTATGCATGCATGTATATGTATGTTTTTGTTATTTAGGATATTTATATATTTAAGCTACTTAAAATTGAACTAGCAGTATATAATTTTATAGCCTGTTTCATCTATTTTAATTTTATGAGCATTTTCCAGTGTCACTTAATATTCTTCATTTTTTGTTCTTTTTTTTCTTTTCACTACATTAAAACAAGCTCCATGTCCATCTGTTATTTTGTGGACATTTTGTGTTTTTCCAACAAGCTGTTTTTTCAATCTTTCCAGAAGGGCATATACTGCATCTTTAGGAGAGACAGCAGTTGCATTTGACTTTGGGCCATTGGCTCCAGTTTCAAAGAACATATTTGGACAAAAAGGCAAAGATGAAGTCATGGCGTACCCACTATACATCCTATATGAGAATGGGGAGACTTTCCTTACGTATGTTAGTCTATTACAAAGGTAAGATGAAGTGGAAGCCATGGGAATGAAAACTTAACTCGTACTCTAATATAAACTGTGATGGTTTGACTTGGGGTTCATAGTTTGCATCCTTTGACGCCTGGCTTGTGTGTTTTTGAGAAATGATTGGCACAGCTTATTTGATCTTTCACTTTACCAGTAAGGGGCTCTGGAGTCACTGTAGGTTAGGTGTTGGCTTGTTAACTACAAGGTTGGTGTAGATTCACCAGCTGGTCTGAAGGCAAAAATGAGGATCTCTGTACTCATAAAGATTTACAGTCTCAGAAATCCTAATGGGGTCACTATGAGACAGAATCGATTTCAGTGATCGTGGGTTTGGTTTTTTGGGATGTTATAGAACTTCTGGGAAATGACATAACATAGGTGATACGAAACATTAATACATTTTTGGTTGACTAGACTGTGAATTTAATGTTTCATACCACCTAGGTACAAGATGGAGCCCTGCTGGTGCTGTGGGCTAAGTGTGTTGGACCACTAACCGCAAGTCAAGTAGCCACTCTGCAAAAAAAAGATGAGGTGGTCTGTCCCCATAAAGGTTTACAACCTGGGGAACACTATCTAGGGTCTCTGTGAGTTGGAAACGCCTAATGGCAGTAGGTTTGGTTATATAGAGGCATTATGAGGATGATTAGATATGGCGATTGGGTATGTTATGTCTCAGTAGTGAATTGTTATCGAGTCGGTTGTGACTCATAGCAATTTGTATAGGGTTTTCAAGGAGCAACTTGTATAGGGTTTTTAAGGAGCAGCTGGTGGGTTTGAACTGCTGACCTTGCTCACAGGCCAGTGTTGATCCTACAGTGCCATACCAGGAGCCCCAGCAGTGGGTAAAGACATGGAAATAATAATAATAATAATTAGTTATAGTCACAGACAGAACCCAGAGGAAAGAAATTTTGATTTGAGAAGTCAAGATTTTTTATAGAGAAGAATGAATGTCATAGAGGACATGTAAACATAATGCAGGATCAAGGAAGGAAAGGAAGAAAGGGGAAGCTCCTTTTGGTCACAAGGGTAGTATAGAGTAAAGTAGGAAAACAAGCAAGTCCAAGAGTCACTTTGGGTTCAGTGTTAGACAGTTGAGGGTTCTGTGTTAGATAGTTTGGGCTAAAGCAAATGATTCATACAAAGGGTGGGTAATACATGATAAAACTAGAGAAGTGCCTGTACAGAGAAAATGTTAAACCAAACCTGTTGTCACTAAGTCAGTTCTAACCACCCTACAGCACAGAGTTAGACGTGTCTCATAGAGTTTCCAAGACTGTATATGTAAGAAAGTGCTACATCTTTAGTCTTCAGAGTAAGGATGGTTCAAACCACCAACCTCTGGATTAGCAGTTGACTACTTTTAGCACGTACCATTAAAGCTCCTGAAGGTTAACTGCCTAATTCAGATATCTGGAATCTAGTCTATAGTGAGTAAAGCAGGTAATGGTTTTGAAACAGGAGAAACATAAAGCAACTGATGAGGAAAGGGCCTGGGGGAGGTAGACTCAGACTCACAAAATCGAGCTTAAGAGTTTGTGAACTAGGGCGGTAGTAATGCAAAGGGAAAAAGGAACCTAGTAGACACTATAAAGGAAGAAACGGTAAGAGTTCAGTTCTTGTTTAGATAAAGGAACAATCCATTAGCAGAAGTAATATGCCAACCTTTCCCCTCAGTTGTGACAGTCAGAAATATCTTGAGATACTGTTAAATGTCCCGAGTGAGCAAAATCATCTCTGGTTGAGAATCACTTGGGTGATTGATGCTAGTGGAGAAGAGAAAAACGTGGAGAATTCAAAATACAAGGGTGCTTCAAAAAGTTCATGGAACAATAGAATGAAAAGATGATGGTATTCTTCCACGAACTTTTTGAAACACTCTTGTATGTGCATAAGGGGATAGTATATGGAAGAAGACAAAATTAAAGGAAGGGTATTGAGTGATAAGCATCTTCTGCTAACATTTTCCAAATATGTTTTCACGCTCTCTTTAGCCCCGGAAGTATTGGAAAGCTGTTAGGTCCGTTGCCCATGCATCCTGCAGCTGAAGATAACTATGGTTATGATGCTTGTGCTATACTTTGCTTACCCTGTGTCCCCAACATCTTAGTGATCGCTACTGAATCCGGAATGCTCTATCACTCTGTTGTGCTGGAAGGGGAAGAAGAAGATGACCAGACTGTAAGTGCAGCTGGCATGGGTGTCTTTTTTGTTTGCAACACCTACTATATAGTCCTTGGCCCAGTGTGAATACTTCCCGTATGAGGAATTTTAGCATCTCTGGCACTTAAGATATTTGAGTGATGTACACAGAAATCTTAAGTGCAAAGAAGCTGCTGAAGGTTGCCCACCAGCCTGTGCCTACTTCTTTTCTGAACTCTATTGCAGTCACTAAAGGGAAGCACATATAAAGAAACTTTGAGCTGCTCAGCTGGCTTTCCTCTAAACATGCTCACTGACCTCTTTCTACAAGAAGAAAACCCTTTTTAATTCTTTTTCAAAGCAACATAGCACTGTTAACATAGGGGATAGAATTAAGAATTTGAAAGCACTCTTTGACTCAAGCTTTTCATTCTGTTTCTAATTGTACGTATTTTCAAATGAATATGCAAGATTAAAAGTAAAATCATTTTTCCCCCCCTCCTTTTTATAGTCAGAAAAATCCTGGGATTCCAGGGCTGATCTTATCCCTTCTCTGTATGTGTTTGAATGTGTTGAGTTGGAGCTTGCTCTGAAACTGGCATCTGGAGAGGATGAGCCGTTCGAGTCTGACTTTTCTTGTCCAATCAAACTTCACAGAGGTAAGGTATTTACTAGTTATATATGTGTGTGTGTGTTTAATCCCATTATATTTGTCTAGCAATTATGCTGTTCTGGCCTGCTTTAAAAATTGAATTCTTTTGGCCTTTTAGTCACAACATTGTACTTTAGATCCAAGGTTGTTGTTAAGTGCCATCGAGGCATTTCTGCCTCATAGAGACTCTGTACAGAGTTTCAAAGAAGTAACTGGTGGGTTTGAACCACTAACCTTGCAGTTAGCAGTTCGGTAGTGCAAGAAAAGACTCAAAGCTTTTTCAGTGAAAAGGCTCAAAGCATACAGTTAAGTGAGTGTGATGAAGAATTTGCTGTGAGTTGGGATTGGTACCATTGTTTTACACTGAGGGAAGATTTATATAAACAAGGATTTTGAGTCAAAACAGAGGAAGGCCAGCCTTGACACTTTGAATGTGTGTGGCCCTCCAGTCTTGAATAATCCAATTTCACACATCAGCCTCCAACACCTCTGCCAAGTCTTCATTCCAGGATACAATCCATGTGATGCTTCCTGTTTCAGTTACCATGATGAATCACCCAAATTGTGAAAATTCATGTCTGTTCATGTTTTACTTTGCTGGCCATCACAGAATTGGTTCGAATCAGTTCAGAGCCCTGCTTGAAGGGCAAGTAGGAGTTCTAACTCAGACATTCATAACCTGGAGGCTGCCTTTATGCTTTAAAAAGATGCCTTTTTAAAACAGCTCTCTTTAGAACGCATTTATCTTTTCTACATAGACCCAATTCATATATTGCCCTTTTCATCTTTTTTCTTTTTTACTTGTTTTATTGGTACCAAATCCATCTGGCATCATATTTCTATTCATCTAGGGAGGTCTTGGACAAGATGTTCTTAATAAAATCAGAGACTGTGTAGTGAAAGCACAGAGAGGCTGAGTAAAGGCATTATGACTAGGAGTCTGAAGTGTCCTAGATTTTAGTTCCGACTCTACCATTAACGGGCTCTGTAGTCTTAGGCCTCTTTAGTATTCAGTTCCCTCATATGAAAGCAGTAGAGTCAACATGAGGTAATCTCCAGGGTGGCTTCTGACACTAAGTCATGTAGTCCTAATTGCCCCTGCTCGTTCTTTTTTTAGACTCTTTGAAGATTGAACAAAACCTTACACATTTTTAAATAATTTGCTGTACATTTCATCATTTTGCTCTGTCCAGTACAGAAATAAATGACTTCAATCTTATTGTACTTTGACCAAATCTATTTAAATTTTTTCAGCCAGTTTGTTTAGCTTTGTTGACAGTATCAGCCAGTACATTAGATGGGACAATATTCTTTACATAGAAAATTGTGCATTTCTGTTTAAGGTTTTTGGAGTGATTTAGAGGGTACAGTGTAAGTATCAAGTCTAAGAACTTTATGAAGTGGAGTAAAGTTGCATAAAGGGCTTCCTCAAAAAAATATATTATCTTAGGAAATAAATGTAGGCATGTTTTTGTGGGTATAACGAGAATTAACATTTTCTTTTGTGAAACTAATACATTTTTGGCTTGTTCATATGAGGGAAAGTCAATGCATTGCTGCTAGGGTTAGAGTTCAAACATGCATGATTTTATTCCAATACTTACTATAATGTCAACAGTAAGAAAATCTTTAAGTCAGCTTTAGAGTATGTACATTAATTCTCTGTGTTTAACACGTACACTTTAAAACTCGGGAATTTGACATTATCAAGACATGTAACAGTTCATTCCTTTCACAGTTCACATTAGACTGACAGCACTGTTCACTGAGCAGTTGTCTGGCATTGAATTAGCACCTATGTTATGGGAGTCCATGCCAACAATTTTGTGGACGTAGATATGTGCAAACTGATACATGCTACAGAGCTAGAGCCTTTCTTAATCACTATTGTATTTTTAAGGACTTTCGAGTAAATGTACAATGGAGAGAAAGGCACAAAGTTGCCTGATATCAGGCGTTAATAATTAGAAAATAAGTTATTTGGACTGTATTATTATGGTATTTTAAATACTTACAATATACTTAAAAATGGAATTCAGATTTAAAAATTATAAATTCCTGAGAACAATGCCACAGTATGAAGATATTTTAGACCTTCAATCATTTCCATTACCAAATGTGTTTGAATGTTATTGGGATGAATTTTTTTTGTTTTCTAATGACTACATTTATACCATTAAATGATTTAACTTGCAGATACCAAATGTCCCTCAAGATACCACTGTACTCATGAAGCTGGTGTACATAGTGTTGGGCTAACTTGGATTCACAAACTTCACAAATTTCTTGCATCAGGTGAGTGTACTGATTTTCTGTATTTCTAAGTAGGTTTCACCGGTTCTTTTAAAAATTAATTTGCAGTAGAAGATAAAAGCAATGGAACTGAAACTTGGTTCTTTGAAAAGATTAGCAAAATTAATAAACCTTTTGCTGGACTGACCCAAGAAAAAGAGCAAGAAGATTCAAATTACTACAGTCACAATTGAAAGAGGGAACACCATCAGATCTATCCAAAAAAAAAAAAGATTACAAGGGAATGTTTTGTCAGGTTAGATAAGAAGAGTCCTGGTCTGGTGCTGCAGGATAATGAACTGGACCACAAGTCAGTTTGAACTGCAAGGTCAGCAGTTCAAATCCACCAGCTGCTCCTTGGAAACCCTATACAGGGTCACTATGAATCAGAGCCATCTCAAGGGCTCTGAATTAATTTTAAACTGAATTAATTTTAAAACTACCTAGTAAGTCCAGGACCAGGTGACTTTATATTTAGAGAGACATTAATGCCAATTCTTCATAAACTCTTCCAAAAAATAGAGTAGAAAAAAAAACTTCACAACTCATTCTATGAGACCAATTTTGAAAACAAAGGCATCCAAGAAAAGAAAATTACAGCCCATAATCTCTTATGAATATAATTGCAAAAAATAAATACTAGCAAACTGAATTCAGCATTGTATAAAAAGCACTATACACCATGACCATGTAGGATCTAGCTACTGAATGCCAGGTGATTGACTATTCCAAAAATCAGTTGTGTCAATAGAAAAAAAGGACAAAAACCTTATGATTTCAGTAGACATAGAAAAAACATTTGACATTCCATGCTAAAACTATTCATCATTTAATAGGAACTTCTTTAACCTGATAAAGAAGTGCAACTGTGAGAAAGTGATAGTTGATACACTTAATCGTGAAAAACAGACTCTTTTCTTTCATTAGTTTTCTATTCTGCTGTAATAGGTCACCATAAACTTAGTGGCTTAAGAACAAAAATGTATTATCATTCAGTTCAGTAGGTTACAAGTCTTACACAGGTCTCACTGGACTAAAATCAAAATGTCAGCAGGGACCGCATCCTCATCGACTTTGAGACCAAAAGAACTAAATGGTGCCCAAATTCCACTACTGACTGTTCTAATCAGGGACACTATAGATAAACCCTGAGAGAATGGGAACAAATGTGGAAGAGAACCTTAAAAACCCCATCTGCTGGAATAGAGATTGCAGGACTCAATGAGACTGTTGCACTGAGGTACCTTTTAAACCTTGAAGAAAGCACCTTGTTCAAAAAAATTGGTTTAGAAAATCATATCACCCTAAAGTACTGTGCTACTTTAAAAAAATCATCTATGAGACCAACGGTCACAAATTACTTTAAACCAAAGATGAAAATGTAAGGAGGCAGAGAAACTAGATTAATGGAAACAGCACAACCAGAATGGAAGTAATTAAGAATGTTCATGCGTTGTGCAGATTGTAACCAGTGTTACTGAACTAGTTGTGTAGAAGTGTTGACTGTTTACACTCCTGTGTAAACTTCACCTGAAACACAGTGTAGATATTTAAAGTCAGCCGGCAGTGTTCTTTTCTGGGAGGCTCTAGGGGAGAATCTGTTTCATTGTTTTCCTGATTCTAGAGCTGGTTGCATTCCTTTACTTAGGACCCCTTCTACCATCTTTAGTACCAACAACAGGGGGATAGATTGAGTCTTTGTCACAGTGTGTCACTCTGACTTTCTCTTCTGTTTCCTTCTTTACTATTGTGGCTACGTTGTACTCACCCAGATAATTCAAGATAATCTCCCAGTTTAAAGTCAGCTGAATAGCAACTTTAATTCTATTTATAACTTTTTATCTTTGGAGCCCTGGTGTGTTGTGGGTTAATGTGCTGGACTGCAAAGGCAGTTTGATCTGCAAGGTCAGCGGCTCCTCAGAAACCCTATTATACAGGGTCACTAAGGGTCGTAACCAACTTGACAGCACTAAATAACAATATAACTATATCTTTTGGGAGGAGGCATTTGTCTTGCTTGGTATGGTGCTGTGGGATAAAGCACTAGACTGCAAGGTCACTTTGAACCACAAGGTCACAAGTTCAAACTCACCAGCCGCTCCTCAGAAATCCAAGTCAGGACCGACTTGGCAGCACTTAACAGCAAAGTCAGTGTTAATGGCCTTGAAAGTTTCACATTCATCCCATATGCAAAATACAGTGACCCATTTCCCCTAAAGTTTCAAATCAATTATAGCATCAAAGAGAAAAACATTTACAAGTAGCATCAAAAGATGTTTACTACAAGAAATACAAAAGATGAATAAAAAGTATAAAACCTTGTTGAAAGAAATGAAAGACATAAATGAGTGAAATAATGCCTCATGTTCATGGATGATTTAGTATTGTTAGAATGCTGCCCCCATGTGTCTATAGATTCAATGTGGTCCCTATCAAAACTCCAACTGGCTTTTTTGCATACATTGAAAAACTGATTCTCAAATTCATATGGAAATGTGAGTGATCCAAAATAGCCTAAACAATCTTGAGAAAGAACAAAGGTGGACTTTCTAATCTTAAAAACTTGCCACAGAGTTATGGTAATTAAGACTCTGGTATTGACATATACAGATAGTTATATGGGTTAAATAAACCTTTACATTAGCAGTCAGTTGATTTTGAAAAGGTATAAAGATTAGTCTTTTTAATATGCTGGAATAAGTGGATGTTGTTGTTGTTGTTAAGTGCCATCGAGTCGGGTCCGACCCATAGCGACCCTGTACAGGGTTTCCGAGGGTGTAAATCTTTACGGGAGTAGAAAGCCTCATCTTTCTCCCGCGGAGCGGCTGGTAGTTTCGAACCGCTGACCTTACGGTTCGCAGCCTGATTCGTAACCACTACGCTACCAGAGCCATATGCAAAAAAATGAATTTGGACTATCACATGTCATATATGGAAAATTAACTCAAAATGGTTAATAAATACAAAAATTGAAACTAAGAAACTTAGAAAAAAAACTTAGGCATCAATCTTGATGGCCTTCAATTAAACAGTGCTTTCTTTAGATAAGATACCAGAAGTGACAAAATAAATCATACTTCATCAAAATGAAAACTTTGGTCCTTTAAGTGTGAAGACAATCCATAAAACAGGAAAAAGATTTTCAGGTAACATATAAGGGAGCTTCAAAAAGTTTGTGGAAAAATGGAGTTCAAAGATACTGAAATTTTTCCATGAACCTTCTGAAACCTTGTATCCGGATAAGTGTGATCAGGAGATCACAATAAATAAGAATTGACTTAGCAGTAACTGGTAATCTACAATATATAAAGCACTCTTAGAATTCAATAATAAAATGTAGCTCAATTAAGAAATGAGAAGGGCTCTGAATGAACATTTCTCCAGAGAAGGTCTACAAATAATCTCATGAAAAAAGATGGTCAGCAACAGTAGCCATCCCGGGAATAACAAAATGAGATCTACCACTTTATACCCACTGCTGCTTCTGTATGCTCTGGAGTTGGTTCCGACCTTGTAATAGGGTTTCTGAGGCTGTACAGCTCTACAGGAACAGAAAGCTTCCTCTCTCTCCTGCAGAGTGGCTGGTGGATACTGTTGACCTTGAGGTTAGCAGCACAGTGTGTAACCCACTAAGCTAAGAGGTTTTAAAGCAGACAGTAACCACTTGTGGGTAAATCAGAGCCTCATTCATGGGAATGTAAAATGGAGCAGCCTCTTTGGAAAAACTTGTCATCTCAGGAGTCTTCCTCTTTTCTGCTGGCCCTTCACTTTACCAAGCATGATGTCTTCTCCAGGGACTGGTCCCTCCTGATATTGTATCTGAAGTATGAGAGATGAAGTCTCACCATTCTGGCTTCTAAGGAGCATTCTGGGTGTCCTTCCAACACAGATCTAAGTACCATAAATCCATCATACTTTGAATGTCCTTCATCCAACACCATAAGTCAAATGCATCAATTCTTCTACCCTCTGCTTTAATCACTGTTCAACTTTCCTATGCATATGAAGCTACTGAAAATACCATGGCTTGGATCCGGCACACCTTAGTCCTCAAATTGGCATCTTTGCTTCTGAACACTTTTGAACACATTATGCTTGGTAAAGTGAAGGGTCAGCGCAAAAGAGGGAAGATCCCAAGATGGATTGACACTATCAGCAGCCCTGGGTTCAGTGCAACAGGAACTGGCAGTTTTTTATTCTGTTGTGTATAGGGTCACTGAGAGTCAGAACCAACTCAACAGCACTTACCAGCAACAACAAAGCTCAGAAGGCAGGAAGGGAGGACAGGAAAGAAGGACAAATGGAAACAGAAATTAGAGAAGAGAGTATGGGCTGTTACATTGTGGGGTCTGCAATCAGTGTCATGAAATAAAATGTACATGAATTGAATAGAAAACCAATGAGGTCTGTAAACTTTGAAGGAAATCAAAGTAGAAAAAAAATTTTTTTTAAAGAATAAAAACTGTGGTCTGAGACAAGAATTTAATTACATTCAAGTAAAACCGACATTTTAGTTTGTAGACTTGTGTAAGTATTAGTTAATTTATATAAAGTATATTCTTTTGTAGATGAAGAAGATAAGGATAGTTTACAGGAACTTGCTACAGAACAGAAATGCTTTGTAGAACACATCCTGTGTACCAAGCCATTGCCGTGCAGGTAAGGATGTATTCTCCCCCTTGTGAACACAGGTAACAGTTACTCTTTTCAGTAACTTAGATATATCATAGCCAGGTATATAAGTGATAGCCCTGAATCCTTGGAAAGTATGTTACAGGCACGATACTTCACTCCTAAGAGTAATCAGTTCATGAAGTATTCATCAAAAGCTCTGTCACTGTTTGCAGGCCTCTCCACATATTATTTCTTCTGTCTGGAAGGATTCCCAGCTCTAGCCTCAACTGACCGACCTCTCTTTACCTGGTTAGCTGTTCTTTCTAATCTTAATGCTACTTTATTGGAGATAGCTCCCTTGATTCCCCAGTCTAAATTAGGTTTCTCCTATTATTATTCTTCTTTGTAGCGTGTATTATGAATGATGTTTGTTTTTTAATGTGTTACCACTACCAGAATGCATGTTTTGTGAGGGCAGAGACCTTGTTTGTTTCCCACTAGATGAGCATCGTGTCTGTATACTTAGTGTCTTGCAGTGTGCCAAACAGAGACTCAGTAAATACTTGATGACTAGACCAGGCGGTTGGTGGGTATTTAGAATGGCTACCAGGGTTCTCCCTGGGTAGATGTGGTGCCTGTAATAATGGCATGGGGCTGGCATCTGACTACACAGTTGGGGGGCGGCGGGGATCAGCATAAGCCCAAGGCTGATAGCTAGTTGTGAGGAAGTGGAGGTCAGACATGGTACCACACTGCAGCCTTCCCAGCACTCTGGCACTGACTGTCCCTCCCATAGCAGTCTCAGCTTCTTTGCTTAGTGGGTTTGTGAACGCGTGCAGTGAGTGGCCACAGAGCCCACAGACAGTACTCCGGATGATACAGTTTAGTAGGGAATGAGCAGATAACAAGTCAGGACCAGAAACTCAGGACAGCCTCCTCAGCCGTGCCCATAGGTACAGTACAGTTCACTCTGGTCCTTGCCCTCTGCCTTGTTTGGCAAGTGTCACAAAGCTCTTTTACCTCTGGCAGTAGTGCTGAAAGGCATACCTCTCCACCAGAAAGCCTGCTCTCCAAAGGCGCTCAGCCATCTTGCACTGTGGGCAGGGACCCCACCACTCTGCGTCATGCCAGTTCTGCTGCCACCGCTTCTCTGGATTTCGAGTCCAAACGACACGCTGCACTCCTGGTTCTTCTTTCTTGATGGTAGTGACATTCATTCCCTTCCCACCTCTGGGATGGCTCATTTTAAACCTTAGTGGAATGTAAAACTAACCAATCTTTTCATTAGAGATCTGTGTACCATGTTTATATGGCCCCAGCCCCACAAGGATACTGTGGACTGTATTTACATTATTAGTAAGCTGTACAAAATGCGTGATGGGCCACAAATACGTTAGCGTAGCCCTGCCCAGTTATTTGGTGGGAGTTAGAAAAACGGTTTAGCTGGAGAGGCCATACTAAGTAATTCATTGCATATAGTTAAATAAGAACATTGGAGACAGTGTGGAATTAGTAGGAACAAGATGGTTTAATTAAGGGCATCTGAGTTTTATGTTCCTATAAAACATCCAAGAGGAGGAATCCAACACAGATGTTGGATATGTAAGGCTGAACTTGGAGTGGTCTGGGCTAGGGATGATGTGGATGTGAGAATGTCAGCATTGGAGCCAATGACTGGTGAAGTTTACCCAGGAAAGGGCCTAGAACCAGCAAAGAAGGCCTGACAAGAGTAATGAGCAGCAGTTAATTACAAGCAGTGAAGGCCAGCCCAGGAAGGAAACTTGATAGGCTCCCACAGGGACACTCGGAATGCCAAGGAGGAGAGTGTTCCAGTGAGCCACAGCAGCCCAGTGAAGCACAGCACAGTGCAGCTGGACATTCTAAGAGGACAGTAAACTCTTAACAGGCTGAAAAGTGAATGGGGAAAATGAAGACTAAAGTATCATTTATATAAAATCTTAAACACAAGTAAAATTAAACAGTATTGCTTAGAAATGTGTACCTAAGTAGGGAAACTACAGCAAAGCAAGGAAATGAGTCTCATCCAAGTCAGAATGGTGGCTATTTCTGTGGGGCTAGGGGCTAAGACGTTGTGATCAGGGATGTACCTTTGACACTAAAAGGATAACATTTTTTAAACTTCCCAGATTCTCCCTCAGGAAAAAAAAACAAAAAACGTGAAAAGAGGATGGGGGCGTAATATTGTAGATTATAAAGGCTTGAAAACATTACAGGGAGTGTTTCAGGGAGAGGAGACATAAACTGAGAGAACCAGGCCCTAGGGGAAGCTTTGTGACACTGCTGAGTTGCTGAGCAGCCCTCAGAAGAGGCGAGAGGAGATGGTAGAATTGTGCTGTGGGGTCTGGTGAGAACAGGATGAGCAAGGGTACAAATAGAGTAGTGTAGTGAAAGTCGTCCCCAGTTGAGCTCCTCTGTTTTCGGTTTCTTTACTGAAGTGAGATTGAGACATGTGGTGTGTACACTGGATTAAGTTCTAGGCCTGAGACGTTGGGCTTCATTGAATTTTTAATGTGAACCAGACACTCTCAAATTCTGTTGCATCAGTAGTTTCTGAGCAGTTAGTGTACACAGAAGCTGGGGCTACGCATGAGTTGGGGAGATATGTGAAGAGTTAGTTCCAGGCTAACATGGTGAGTGCTGAGATTACAGGGAGCAGCTTCAGGCCCTGTGTCCTGAATGACTGTAGTCTGCTAGATGGTAGAGTGACCTCTTGGCCCACACTGATGGTCACTTGTTAAGTAGTGCAGGTCTCTGTGTCACTGACTTCAAGGTCACTGCACAAATAGGTTGCAGGCCTTGGGTCATGGCTGGCCTCTGTCTGGTGGCCATGAGTCTGTTTTGCCCTTTTCTCTTTGTGTTCCTACATCTGCTACTTTGTAATGTAAACTGCCTGTGTTTTCCCAGGCAACCGGCTCCAGTTCAAGGATTCTGGATCGTCCCTGACATTCTGGGACCCACAATGATCTGCATCACAAGTACCTATGAATGCCTCATCAGACCTTTATTGTACGTCCATGTTGTATCTCACACACAGCTTTCATGAATTCTGTGGGGAATTAATTCAAAGCTGGGAGAATGTTCTCAATAGCTGGCTTGAAGCTATATAGTTTAGCGCTTTGGCCTCTGAGTTGAGGGCAGTTGTCATTCCTGCCATTCCAGGTAACAAATACAGTAAAGCTGCATTCCAATTCAGATCTTTTTGACTCCGAAGTCCACACCCATACTCTTAATTTCTCCTTCTCTACTGGCTTCAGAGGGACTTAGAAGATGTAAACTCTTTGGAAAGAAGGTGGTATATACAGCAACTGGGAACTTCTATTCCTTGTTGTCATCAAGTGCTGCTGAGTCAGTTCCAACTCACAGCAACCCTATATAGGGATTTCAAGGAGAAGCTAGTGGGTTTGAACTGCCAACCCTGAGATTATCAATCCAGTACTTGTATATCCTATATCCTATAGCAACCCTGTAAAGGGTTTCCAAATACCTTCTAATCATGTTTTTGCCAACTCCCTTTTATTGAATAAACTTCCAGATTTGAATTGCTTCCTTCATAAGTTATTTTACCATATTGTGAAGGTTTTGCAAAAATTTTTACGCTCTTTCTGAAATAGTGGTTTTTGAGTATCTGTACTTGAGTAGATCTCATTTCTAGAATTCAAGTTATATGGACTCAAATGTTATATATATGGTCTGGCTAAATACTAGTTTTGGTATTTATGATTGTGGCTCTGGTTTGTAAACTGGCTCAAAAGTCCTTTTGCAAACAGTCTTTGATGATTTGAAATTGTATGTTACTTGATGTTTTCTCGAAGAATTTGAAATCACAGAATCCAAAGTACTTTCACAGAGACTTCATAGAATGCAGTAGAGCTGCCCAAGGTGGCCTGTGCAAGGCAGAAAACATGTATTTTGGTATGTTCTTCTAAAAAGGTCATACCTGACGGTCTCCTATAGCCAAAGGATTTTGGAGAAAGCATTGCGGTTTGTACATGTTGTTTATTATAAACAGCCCCACAATAGACTATTTTTCATGTGTGTGTATTGTCTTACAGAAGCACTGTCCACCCAGCATCTCCTCCCCTGCTCTGTGCCCAAGAAGATGTTGAAGTGGCAGCGTCTCCCCTCCGTATTCTGGCTGAAACCCCGGATTCGTTTGAAAAGCACATTAGAAGCATTTTGCAACGTAGTGTTGCCAACCCAGCATTTCTGAAGTACGGGTTTTACCTTGTGGAGTTGGAAGAAAAATTGTTAGCTGCCCTCAAGTCTGCCCAACTTGTGGGTGTAAAAACCTAGGCTGTGTTTACTCAGCTCGTGAATAGAGAAAGAAAAGTGTCAAAAAACAAAACAACAGGCGCAGTTAAAAAATTTTAGTCTGTTTTCTGGGCTCAGGAATATCATAGTAGAAACTGTTTTGTCTTGTTAGGTTGTCTGAAAAGGATACGGCCCCTCCTCCTGAAGAATGTCTACAGCTGATTAGCAGAGCCACACAGGTGTTCAGAGAACAGTACATCCTTAAACAGGACCTGGCAAAGGAGGAGATTCAGCGCAGGTAGACTGTCCTTTAGAAAGCAGTGGTCTTGTTCACATACCACTAGTTCCTGGCTGGTTGCTGACACTGTGTGTGTAATGACGTAAGCCTGGTTTCTGACTAAACAGCCTTTTCTTTTTGGTTCTTAAAGGGTCAAATTATTGTGTGACCAGAAAAAGAAACAACTAGAAGATCTCAATTACTGTCGTGAGGAAAGGTGAGTGCCAAAACTTGGAAGAAGAAAGGAGTCCAATAAGACTAAAACCGTTCTCACCCTAAGATGTTTAAGCTCAATCACTCCCTCGGCTTCGATGAGCATCAAGGTGGACCCAAGAATCTTGCTTTTTGTGTCATTAGAAAAAGTCTACGAGAAATGGCTGAGCGCTTAGCTGACAAATACGAGGAAGCTAAGGAGAAACAAGAAGATATCATGAGCAGGTGAGTGGGTTGCAAACCATTCTGTTTCCTAATTATGTGCCGTGGAGTCGATTCCGACTCATAGTGACCCTGTTACAGAGTTTCTCCCGGGGAAGAGCTAGTAGTTCATAACCACTACGCTACCAGAGCTCCTTGTTTCCTAATTAGGTACTAACAAATGTTATTAATGAAGTACTCTTGTATTGTTAGTAAGGAAAATGGGCCTATATAGTCTTAATTATCTGTCCTGAGGATTGTGTTGCTACCCTCAAATGCATCCTGTGCGAATCTTCAGAGTCACCAGATTCCTGAATTAGGAGCTTTGTCTGATCCTGCTGCTTTTGATTTGGCCCAGTTCTTACGCTGAGATGTTTGCCTTTTTCTAAGGATGAAAAAGGTGCTGCACAGTCTTCACAGTCAGCTCCCAGTCCTCTCTGACAGTGAGAGAGACATGAAGAAAGAATTACAGCTGATTCCTGATCAACTTCGACATTTGGCCAATGCCATTAAGCAGGTAGGAATGGATACAAAGTGGACACATTGGTTTGTTTTTTAAAGTAGTTTGTGCTATAGAAAACTATTTTGTTAAATGAGTAAAACCATAGTGAAACCATAGTGAGAACACCTATGTCCTACTTGATACTTCAGGTCACTATGAAAAAGGACTATCAACAGCGGAAGATGGAAAAGGTAATGAGTCCTCAGAAACCCACCATTACTCTCAGTGCCTACCAGCGAAAGTGCATTCAGTCCATCCTAAAGGAGGAGTAAGTACATACTTGTATAACAGTGATCGTCCTGAGGGATCTCTTCCTTGCTTGCAGTGTGCCCCAATTAACCGCTTTTCCTGCTAAGAAGCCCCTATGTTGGCATTTGCATGTCAAATACTGACTAGGACAGGAGCTGTAAGATAGGGATTTAAAAAATGAGCATGATGAAAAGCAATCAAAAGTGGCTTTTATGTAATACAATTTTGTGTGCTTTAATTGTATTCCTTAGTGAATATGTTCAGAAATCTAGCCAGCTGCACATTGCTATCTTTAGCTTTAAGTGCTCAAAAGTTCAAAGAAACTTTTTTTAGGATCATTACTAGTGTAATATTTGAATTGTTCAGTATTGTATTACTAGTTTAAATTACTTTTATGATTTTACAGGGGTGAACACATAAGGGAAATGGTGAAGCAAATCAATGATATCCGAAATCACATCAACTTCTGACACCACCAGGACAGAGTCATAGCTTAAGTGAAGTGAACACAACTGAAGATATAAATCCCATTCTATAAACAAACATTTTCTAATTTATAAAGAAGCATTTTGAGTGAGCTTTGGTGTCATTCATCTTTTTTATACTTTAAAAGACCTGTTGATTAAATTTGTATTTAAATATTAGACTTGAGCTATATATACAGTACCTTCTAAGATTAAACTCAGCAGGGGCCTAGGAAGATTTTTAAATCCTGAGAGACACAAGTTCAGCTCCACAGTCAGAGTTGCATGAACCATGCATGGTGTTTACCTTTTCTCCATGTTTGAGTAGAACAAAATAGGAGCACCAGAAATAGGATTCTGAAGAGGGGCAGAACCTGGGAATTGAAAGGAAAAGGCCACGCAGTATACTAGGCAGCAGCGTGTTTAATTGAACACTTTCTTAAGGACACACCTTCAGTACAGTTAACAAATGGTTACACTTGAAATCTGCACAAAGCAGAGCTCAAGATCCACAATTGCAAAGGCCACTGCCCAGCTCACTTCCACAAGAGGCAGTATTACCTTTCAGAATCGAGTTTGGCTGTGCTCTGTATCCCAGTACTTGGTTAGGAGGTATATACTTCAGACCTCAAAGGAAGAAAGAAACTTACATCATTTGATATGCAAGAGGTGGTTTCATCCTCAGTTAGCCTTGGGTAATCTTTTCATACCTGCCAATATGAATTCTGAAAGGTAATGCATTACCTGCCTAGAAATGGCTGAGTGACTGCCTGCCAATTTAAAGCCACATGGTAAGGTAGGTTATAGGTAGGAGGTAAATCAGGTTAGACATGCGTGAGAACATGTGCGTACAGACTGTGAATACAAGCATAGGAGTACTCATGAAACCCATTTGATCTGTTGTCTAGAAAGGCCAAAGCCGACTTTTTTCAATCCATTTCTTGTTAGTACACAGAATGCCAGTTTAAAAAATGGTTTCCTATCAGACAGTACCACAATACTTTGTCTCATACCAAATAACTCATTAAAAACCTAGCCTCAATTTGGGTTTTTCTCAATAAATTAGGTTCTAACAGTTTGCATCTCTCACATCTTCACATCTTCACTAAGATCATAAAATTTCTCCAACAGTGATGAGCTGCCCAGTATACCACATTCTGGAGAAAAATATCTGCAAGAGTCAAAGATTATGGATTACTTGTCCTGATTTATGGTTCTGATTTTAATAACTAGAGGAAAAAAAAAGTTGGGGGGGGGCTACACAAGGGACTAGTCTTAAACTAATTTGAATGGATCTTCAAACCAATTAATGCTCCATGCATGGCAAGCTATTTTCATGATGATTTACTTTCAAGTTCATAATCATGAATACAAGACTGTAACAGTAACCCAAGGGGTGAGGTATGTAGCCTTTATCACTTGTTCTGTGGAAGACAGAAGTAAAAACTTCAGGGAACGTCCATAATGACGTCACTTATAACAAAAACAATTCACTTGAAACTAAGCTGATGATGGCGTTAAATGAACCAGATGATCCATTTAGTCCACTTAATTTCAGTAAGGTTCCTTCAAGTACCCTGCCTGCTGTTAGGTGAGAAACAAGTTTCCATGTGAGCCATCTGTATCAGTTATCAGTTAAACAGCGCTGCCTTCCTCTTCTTCCTGGAGGCAGTTCTGCAGCGTTCCACAAGCAACTGCACCTTCAGCACGCCACAGCAATGAGAGCCTATCCGGATGGAGTTTTCACGTAGCAAAGGGACCTAGCCTCTTGAAGAAAAATGACAAAGATTTCCCAAACCAACTTTGCCACACTGATTCAATACGCAGATTCATAAATGTATGCTTATCAGACATAGCTTGTTTTGATTTTTTTTCCCCACTGATCCAATAACTAGACTGTTTTCAGAGTAGATAGTGCAGCTTAGTGTCGTGGGTCTGTGCTGCTCATCCAGGTGTGCAGAAGACTGCCTCCAGAGTCTCTTGTGCTTTTTCCTTTAACCTCAACTCCCAAGACATACGGCAAAGTTCTCATAATTCAGTCCGTTCTTGAGTTTTGCTTGCCACCAACAAGTTTCAGTAGCATTTAAAGTCTTCCAAAGCAAATTAAAATGGGGGGGGGGGGGGGTTAAGCTAGGAAATAGTCACGAGCCAATGGCCTCCTCTCACATGTCATATTTTAATATAAAATACTCATACAGCATACTATACACCTCTGTCTGCTAGCTGAAGACTCTTACTGATAAGCACTAGACAACAAAAAAGTTCTCTCTTCCAATATCTGTAAATAGAAACTCCCAAGGCTTTTGGATGTTATGTTAGGATTGAGAAATGTGTTCCAGAAAACGATGCTGGATAAAGCAGGCAAGGAAACAGCACTTTTCCCCCATCACCCTCATCCGGTCCCTACCCTGCTGAAGTGAGTCCTGAGTCTCGTTCCTGTTTGAAAGGTCCTCACTGCTGAGTCTCTGGGCTGTTTGCTGATCCTGTGCTGCATAGTCCTCTCCCACTAGAAATAGGCATTCCTTCAGTCTTCTTTTTGTTGTGACGTTTCTTCAGTTAAGAGTTAAATAATAATTAATGTTGCTCTACATGAGTTAAAAACCCGAAGTGCAGGCTAGAGTCCTACCATTGTGGGTCATGTCTCAGGGAGCTGGTTAATGTCTGTCAGTTTGGTATCATTCAGAATCGCCCGGATTCTCTCCAGGGAGTCAGCCTGCCGGATTCTCTCTAACTGTACCTGGAGAGGAAGAAGCCAGTGAGATGCATGCTAGAGGTGGCCCCTGCCTACATTTCCTGAACTTTATTTTGGGTTAGCTGAGACTAACTCACCAGAGAACTTGCAAGAAGAGCAAGAACAATTCCTGGGTGCTGCTAGGTAGCAGAGCCAGTGTCGGGTGCTGGCTCATGGAGCTGAGTGACTGCTGTGTGCCCACAATCCACTAGGGAGAAAGGCTTACAGTGGGGACTAGCAAAGTCTGCTAAATGTCACTGGAGGTGTTCACAAAATAGCAAGGGACGGGGGCACTTAAGCCCTGCCTGGATACCTAAAGAGGGATCTCTGAAAAGGATAAAAGGCTGGGCCTTGAAAGACAGTAAGAACGGGGTGAGATGCACATGATGGGTAAGCAATTAGAAACAATTCAAAATCATTAGAACATAACATAATGTTGTAAGGACAAAATGGGGGAAATAGGCCTGATTGGGAAGAAATGGATGCTATGCTGAGTCCGAAGTGGCCAGGCACAGGAAAAGAAGAAGGGTGGATGAGTTTAAAATACATCCCAGGTTTCTGGCTTGACTGGCTAGCAGCTATTTAGGGTGGGGGCAGGAGCATAGCTACAGTCTGGTCAGGCCGGGCTCTCGTGCATCCACTGGGTAACAGTGTCTTGTGTTCTTACCTGAAGCGTCTGGGAAAGCTTTACAAAATCTCTCTGGACTTGTTCACTGACATCTAACTCCGTCTGCAACCTCTGAGCTTTGTTCTTCTCCTCAAACATCAGTTGTTCAATGGTAACCTGAAAAATGCAAGTTTTGAATGAGGATTAATGTCAAAGAGTCAAAAATCATAATTATTTAAGAAATCTAGAGACTTACAGCTTTCTACTACTCAAGAGGAGGAAAGTAGATGTTCACCATAGTCCCCCGTCCTACCAGTCTCCCTTTCCCTATGGAGCAAGAGTGCAAGTTGGCTGAACTGTTGGCTCTGAGTCCTGGTGACCCGGTAGGAGGGGAGAAGAGCGGTTCACGTGCTGTACTCCCCCCTACAACTGGGAGCCACCTGCTCTCATCAGACTGCAGCTCCTAAAATCAGGGATCTCTGCTTATAAGCACAACAGCCAAAGCTCCCACAGGAGCACTCTCAGTAAGCATGCACATATAGGAGTCAAGTGATGGTTAAACACCACCAACAGGCCTGCACTGGGAGGTCTCACCACACGGCTCACGGTAGCTATTTCGAGGAAACTTCCCTAATAATTAGCCACCCCACACTTTGATCCTAAGTAGACAAATCAAAATTAAGCAGCAAATTTTGGTTAACAGTCTTGGGATTTGGTACACAGTTAAAGGAAGTGACATTTTCAAAGCAGTGAGTGCTTCTAACTCTGAAGTGCTCAAGCTGGATTCAATGGCTCCCTTACACACTGTCTAAAGCCAGTCCAGTCTGTGACAGTCCTCTAATGAGATAGTCAATTCATTTTCTTCCAGCTTTCAGAAGGTGGCACTAAACAGTCAAGATGCCGAAGGCCAGCTTACACAGAAGGGAACCAAGAGCCAAGTATGCTAAGAGACTTGTCCACATTCACATAGCCAGTCAGAGGAAGAGTGCAGAAAATGCTCCATTTCCCCATTCCTAAAACTATGAGTCTCCTATCTTGTTGGCTTTGGTAGAGTAGGTGGTGATCCTGTATTTTTAGCACTGCTTTTAAATGAAATTACCAACAAAAATATCACCTTAGCAGCAGTCTCTTTTTTCAACTGTTCTTCCACAGTGACTTTCATCTCCTGAAGGCTCTCAAGCTGTTGAGACTTCTCTCTTAAAGTGGACTCCAACTGTGAGGGTAAGGCAGAGAAAGCTGAACCTCACAGAAACCGTCTACAGCCCTAGCATGCCGCCTACAGAAACATGCCCAACTCTCAAAAGCTTTCTGGACCTTTGGAATCTCTTCTCTCCCCTTTCTCTCTGTGGAGCTCCTACTTCTTTCAATAAATAATTAACATCTATGTTCCAAGGACAGAGAAATTTAAATTATGATACTATTAAGCATCTGCACCTGCAAAGATCCAGAGCCTGGGAATCCTAGGCGGGGCTGTTGTGAGTCAGAACCAACTGGATGGTACTCCACCTTCACCATAACATACATATCAGCACGGAGGAAGAAACACTGCAGCCTGGAAAGTTAGAGCTTCCTAAAAATGGCATTTGTCTCTCAGAAGATAGAAATGTTTGCAAATAGCAAGGGGAAGTTGAAGACAGACACACCAAGAAGAGGAGTGAAGGGTGCACATGGATGCATGGTGAAAAGCCTTGGAAGAGCATCTTTGTCAGCTGACACAACAGAGTTTTTATAAAGATGGTGTTATGCACCCAACTTGGGTAAGTAGCATCTG